GCATCCTATACATCACATGTAAGTGATTATTCTGATACCATCATGTTTCATCGGTTATAAACTGGCGAAGCTTTATTTATTGTGGCTTTCAAAAAGATAATTTCATTGTATTTCAAAATGGCGTCCAACACAAGCACTATTTATTTATAGAAAGAGAAATGGTTAAGTTTGTTATTACCAGTGTTGTGAGTTCAATATTTTTAATTAATTATAGTAAGGGAACATCTTAGGAGTTAGTGTAGTGAGTTTCAGAGCAGTGTAATAATTATTTGACCTAAAACTAAATGTTTTTATGAACATGACATGGGGATTTGCTAACTTTTGATTTCCCCCATTTTACACGACACAAATGGAGGCCACTATGGGCCACAACTAACACGTAGGTTTCTGTAGGGTTCATGGCAGACGGATGCAGTTCTCAGGAGGATATATAATAAAGGTGTGTTAGCTGCTGAGCCTATTTAGTGTGCATACGACACACCTGGCACAGTTTATTCATTTCACACGTAGCGTAGCTTCCGAATCAGCATTGCTATTGCATTTGACTGGTCGACGATCTGTATTTGTGTTTGCTTAAATAACTCAGACGAAGCTCATGTCTGAGGTCGGAAGGTAAACAGACGCCTCATTTACAGCAAGTGGGCGCGGGAGGTTTTTCTTCTTCTTTTTCTCTCGGTTTTTTGGCGGATTGCAACTTTAAGGTGCATACCTCCACCTACTGTACTCGCCGTGAAGTTGTTTGCGGCCTGCCAGTAAACCCAAAGCAGAAGAAGAAGAAGTGACGTCAGCGGTTCATTTGCCTAATCCACCCCCAGGAACTCATTTTGGTGTGAACGCGATCTGCTTTAGTTCATCAGAACTAAAAGAGCTCTCATGAACTAAAGTTCTCATGAACTATTGTGGGAAAAGTACTTGGTGTGAACGCGCCTATAGAAGAACGGACCGACTGTCACTGCCCATCCCTGAAACCCCTGTTAGTGTTTGTATGTGTTTGTTTCTGTCTCTCTCTCTCTCCCCCTAACCCTAACGTCCCGCTGAAAACGTTTAAAGAACAGTAGGGCATAATGTTCTAACAATGTTATCAAAAACATCTTAAGGTTATCAAAAACATCTTAAGAAGGTTATCAAAAACATCTTAAGAAGGTTATCACCAAACATTTTAAGAATGTTTTTAGAGAACGTTATCCTACCACATCACCCCCATCCTCAAAGCACTACACTGGCTACCCGTAGAACTCAGGATAGAATTCAAGGTCTCCGTCCTCACCCACCAGTGTGTCCATGGAACTGCCCCTCCCTACCTCAAGGAACTCCTCACCACCCATACCTCCTTGCGGACCACCCGCTCCAGCGATTCCTACCTGCTCAAACCCCCCAGGACTAAGCTCCGTACCATGGGAGACCGGGCCTTCTGCTCGGCTGCCCCCAGTCTGTGGAACGCTCTCCCCGACCACATGAGAGCACCACAGAGCGTGGAGGCTTTTAAAAAAGGCCTCAAAACCCATTTTTTCAAAAGAGCCTTTGCCTAGACCCCTTTTACCATCCTTTTATCTTTATTTTTATTTATTTATTTTTTATTGCTTTTTATTAATTCTACCGTGTTGTGTCATGTCTATTTATACTGTTCCTGCTCACTGCCTGTAGCACTTCGGGATTTGAATTCGAATATGAAGTGCTTTATAAATCGAACCCATTATTATTATTATTATTATTATTACCTTTCAGAAGAACATTCTGGGAACCAAAATAAAACTTCCCGCTGAAAACATTCCTAGAACAGTGAACATTCTCAAAATGTTTTTAGAACCAAACATTTCTAGCTGGGTAGTGTATCTTTATACACTATGATGTCCAACTTTGCCAGATGGAATTTAAATAGGATTGCATGTATGTGATTTAAACCGTCTTTGGATGGAAAGGCAACAGGGCTCCTTTTTTTACTGAAGAAGAATCCTGAATTATTGGCTTGCACAAAAGAAAGCATGAAATTCTGACACCCACATCACAATTAACTAGTTGTGAGCCCTTTAAGAACCTCACCAGGCGTATATTTAAATTGATTGCAATGATGAACTTTACAAAGAGAAGCTTCTCTTCTGACACTGCAACTAAATATCAAATGATTCATTGTCTCATTAACAAAGTCTGGTCCGACCTTTACTGTCCCAAATGACACCCACATTTTGACTGATTCATGCACTTCTACTACACATATCTGCCTCACGCTGCATATATTAGCTTGGATTTGAAGAATGTGAAAAACGTACTGGCATTTAGTGGATGTTGAGATATAAAATCTCGACGGTTGTTTTACCATGTAGTCAAATTTCAGGTACAATCAAAGTGTTCAGTATAACTTGATAATATCTATGTTGGGGGTAAAATAACAGAATCTCCAGCGGGGTTTTTCACCTCTTGGGCGCAGCACTTTTAGGCAGCAATTTTAAATCGTTAAACTTCTTTCCATCTCCGTGCACATTGGTAGTAGGTAAAGTTGTGCCAGAAACCCCCACTGTGCTTCTAAGGATTTCTAATATGGAACCCACCCCACCATGATGTAAGTGTTGTTTTACAATGTGAGGGCCTGTAGTTCCCTCTCTGCTTAAATACAGTTTATGTTACTGTATATGCCAATAGGGCCCCGGTTTCTCACAACACTTTTCAATTTTGCACACAATTCTGCCTAATTACATGCTCTGAGTTGGCTTGGAAAGGCCTCGGGGGGACGATGACTTTTCGCTTCCCAAGGCCGTGAACTAATTGGCCCTCTCTCCCAGGGGCCTCCCGGTGCCCATACTGGGTCAAACTTTCAGGGTCTGCAGCGACGTCGGCAACCCAACCGACCATCTTGAAACACTAACCCATCTCGTATTGTATTGAGCTTTTAAATTACATTTTCATGTTCCCCAGGGCCGCAGGACCATGATCCATAGAGTGTGTGTGTGTGTGTGTGTGTGTGTGTGTGTGTGTGTGTGTGTGTGTGTGTGTGTGTGTGTGTGTGTGTGTGTGTGTGTGTGTGTGTGTGTGTGTGTGTGTGTGTGGGTCTAAAGATGGAGTCTGGTTGGTGAGCTGGCTGCCTCCCCCAGTTGCCCTGGGGCCAAGAAAAGTGTGAATACATTGCACCCACCCACGTCGTGCAACCTTCAGTGTCCCACAGACTCCCGAAGAGGCTACTAAAGTCTGACTGGTGAGCTGTCTGCCTCGACTAATCAGTACTCTCCCGCCAAGAAACAGTGTGACTCCAGACGCGCAACTTATGCCCTGCACTGCTCACAGCTTGAGTTGCAGATGACCTTTCGTGAAGCAGGTTTTGGTGAGTGTGTGTTCTCTTGGGAACAGATGATGTGCATCATGGTGGACTGGTCTGACCCATATCATAAAGGGAGGACTGTATTGTCCTCTCTGACTAAACCTAGCCCACCCCTGACCTGGTTTGATTAAGAGCAAGTTAAAGGGGACCTATCATGCAAAATGCACTTTTTGATGTCTTTTATACATAAATATTTGTCCCCGGTGTGTCAGGGAACTCACGCAGCGTCAGAAAATAAAACCCTCTCTCTTTTCCTCCGTACTCAAATCTCTAAAAATGGGGATACAACGGAGCTGATCCATCGCTAACACTCAGAGCTAACCTGTACTGGAGAGAGCATGTGTGTGAAGAAGCAGGAAATAAAAAGGAACTCACCTTGTGGTATAACCGGCAAGAGAGAAAGCCTTTGAGCTCCATACTGTTTCAGAAATAATCTAATAATCCTTGCGTTTCATCACCGCAGCATTTTAGACAGTATCTGCCAGGTCCCGCATGAGCCGGCATAAGCTCCGCCCCCTCTTATTTTATTTTGTTTCAGTTTATTTTTAAAAGAAGCTTTTTTTTTGTTAGTTTTTTTAGCCTTTATTTATACAGGTGAAAATATCATTGAGACACAGGGTCTCATTCTCAAGAGAGCACTTTATACCCAAAATCAGCACTTTTGTAACAGGAAGTGAAATAGAGGAATATGAGACATGGCTAGAATGGGTGATCTGTTTTTTTGTTGTTGACCAAAACACTTCATAGACATGTTTTTTATATTTTTTATATATCTGAGACCTATGCTATTGCCTAAAAATAGCATGATAGGTGACCTTTAATGCATGCCACTTCAACCTATTACAACAGCCCATTTACATTGTGTGTGTTATGGTGCTTTAACAATTCCTTGGAGAGAAGTGTACCAATGTGTGTTGTCCCACTGAAATTATAATTTGTGTGTCACCTCTCCTCCTCACACATTGTGATCAGCCCATATGCTGCGTTGGATAATTTCGCTCTGCCGCTGAGTTTTCCTTACATGTTCATCTGTTGTGCTGAAATGTAGGAGGCTCTCGGCTTCTTTCCAAAATGTGCCTACACTGAATGAGACAGATGATTCTTTGGTTTAATGCCAAATGAGTTCACCTTCTGTCCTCCTCCAACCCCCTTGTGAGCCACGGTGGATCCACACAAAGACTAGCCTTTAGCTATGCAGTAAATATTCATACTTTATCTCAGAGATAGTTTTGCTTTTTTGTCACAAAAAACTGCACCCCACCTCTTTATAGTCAGTTGGCTTCCTCCATATTGGCAATGTCCTTAAAGATGAAGACAGGAGTTACCTAATCAAACTGATAACATTCATATGTATGTCTTTAAAAATGGCAAGATTAAGCATTGTTTACTTTTACATTTATAAATAAATTGTTGTTCTCATCTTATGGAGTGTTTAATTACTTTACTGATATAATAACCCTACTGTTGGTACTAGTGAGTGATGGTTTACTGTTTTAGGTAAGCCTCATGAAGCCAGAGAGAAAGCCCGCCCCATCACTGCCTTTCTTGTCTCTTCCTCCGGTGACTCTCGCCCCTCCTCCCAGCTGACGTAGAGAAGATCCTCCACTGCCCACGACTGTGGGCGAAGCCCCGGCCGCGGGTATAAACAGCCTCCCGGTACTCCAGCACGTCACTGCCTTCAACTGCAACAACTCCTCGCCAGTTCTGAACCTCAGCAGAGATAGCAGTAGGAGGCACTTCCACGCCTCGCAGGCTAACTCGCTTTCGGCTTTGGTTCGAGATGGAGACTCTCTGCACCGTGAGGCGCTCCAGAGCGCACAACTTTAAGGGTGAGTTACTCTCTGGTGCACCTGCTGTGTGAAAGGACTGAGAGACTTTGACTTTGGGAACGTATTTCTGTGATTTAATTGACATAGGCAGCTTGTAACAAACTTGTGTGCATGTTTTACGATTTAAGAAGTGATTCAAGTAACAATCAATATTTCATAGGCTATGTCACAGAAATATGTCAATGTCATTGTAGAAGCTGCATTTAAATACTTTTTATTGCTTTTGCACGGTCATTCTCCATGTATTTTAAATGTTCTACCAAGATTTACAAAGTGTTCAAGACCTATTTTAAGTTTAAATCATTATTGTTAAATGTGGGTGAATTGCATTTGCATGTAGCATGATGGGAAAGGACTAAATACTAAGAGGATAAAAGACTTCACAGTAAAATCTAAATTAGAAAGTCTAATTTGACCGTGAATTTATGTGATATCATGATATACAAAAAACTATTTAAAACAAGTAATTCAAGTAATTATTTTTGGTTTGAACTACCCCTTAAAGCTTGCCAAAACAGCCTAATCCAATCCCCTAATGAGCTAGCTCACCTTTACTCGAAATGCAATTATTATGATGTAATGTATGTTCATATTACTTTGTTCTTCATCTCATGTTGCCTTAAGACACATGAAACCTTATCGAACAGTATTCAGTGCAGCTAATAGTAGAGCGTGTAAAGAGGTCAGGAGGTGAGCTCCTGGAAAATCTTGCGTACAATAGATGAATGGGAACTTCATCATTATTTAATGCATGCACTTTTCCCGCAGCGCACCCTTTGTGTACCGTTATCCGAGCTGTGCCAAGATGCTGCTGCAATATTGATAAGAACCGAAACTGATCCGGGTCTGGTTGCAGGTTTTACGCGCACCCTCTGCGTGGCAAACAGAAACATCCTCTAAATTGCCTGAGAACTAGGAAACCAGGTTAATGTAATGCAGTGATGCTCTTGGAGTTCACGTTTCTTGTCTTTTAAAGATCTTTATAGTAGATTTATGTTGATTTACCATCTAAACAGCCAAAAATCAAGATTTGTGTAACTGTGTCACAAAAGCCGTAGAGACCTTTGTAAAGTGATCTGGAGTTATGGGTCAATGATTTCTGTAATGTTATCTTGTGAATTATATATGAAGCCCAAAGTTCTGGAAACCATCAACAGGTCAGGGGTGAGAGCACAGCAGTGTTCAAAAGAATCACTGACAACAGCAACAGGTTTGACAGACAGACAGTAAAGGAAGGCTGGAATCAATCTGTCTTTCTTTTGTGTGCATCTCAGGGACTAACCACTCAACAATGATCCTTAGCTTATACCCTGAGCTTCAATCGTTTTTATTTTTCTCCTCGAGAATTAACCTCCTCCATCTTCCTGCAGGTGGACTCACTCTGTGGCTGATTCTGTGGCTGGTGGTGGTGAAGCCGGGCGGGGTGTCGGCATGCCCTCGACTGTGTGTGTGTTACCCTACGCCCATGACGGTCAGCTGCCAGTCTCAGAACCTCACCATAGTGCCGGCCGGTGTGCCATATGACTCACAACGTGTTTTCCTGCAGAACAACCGCATCACAGAGCTGCGTGCAGACTCTTTCGGCTTTGAGACACAGGTAAAGATGGTGCAGTGTGTGTGTTTTTGCAGCTGTTAAATGTACTGGCAATATTTGTAGACGTTTTTATGTCTTTCCTCTTTCTCATCATGTTATTTGTTTTTCACTCTGTGCAGGTGCTTTGGCTTTATGGCAACAACATCACATGGATTGAAGCCGGGGCCTTCAGTAACCTCAGGGTGCTGGAGGAGCTGGATCTGGGCGATAATCCGCTACAGCGTCTGGAAGGTGGAGCCTTCAGGGGCTTGGAGAAGCTGCAGAGCCTGCACATGCATCGCTGCAAGCTGGCCACTCTCCCCCATGACCTCTTCTACAAGCTGTACAGCCTGCAGTTCCTCTACCTGCAGGTAAACCAGCATGCACACTCACACGCGTATAAACACACACATGCAAAGATGCATATTTAATAGCTATGCATGAGTATAGACACATGATTGTTCATAAACCCGTTGTATAAAACACACTTTACTTGCAGAATTGATTTATGGACACATTTATTAGTTGCCAACATGCAGACTGAACACCCACACACACAGAGACATTTGTACTGTTTGATTTCAACAGTGGAAAATCAAATAAAACATTTCTGTTGCCATTTTACTATTTATTAAGCACAACAGAATACTTTCAGATTATTTGTTGGGAATTATTGACAAAGAATGATAGCAAAGGTAGGGGCTGCCAAATACTCAATACACATACAAAACAAACAGTATACATATACAATACCCAAAAGGTATTGTATGCCCACACATTTCCGCTTACCAGCAGTTCTAGCTCCAAGTCAAATAAAACTAAACAATCCAACATAAATCAGGAACAGGGCTAAATAAAAGAAGACCAAGACAAAATCAACTCTTCAAAGAACAGTTAAATAACTGAAAATTATTAAACCCACTCACAATGCAGCATTTCAGCCACACACCAGCTACAATACAGAGGGAAAACATCCCTTAATTTGCCTCAGAAGTTCAAACTGCTGTTGGGATAATACTCTTTTTTTCCCATGTGCATTTCCCCAGCACTGAATCTTGTTGTATTTTGACTTTGCTCCAGGAGAATCAGCTCCACTTTCTGCAGGATGACCTGTTCTCAGATCTGGTCAACCTATCCCATCTCTTCCTTCATGGAAACCGCATCCGTGCTCTCTCTGAGAACGTGTTCAGAGGCCTAGTCAACCTGGACCGCCTTCTTCTCCATGACAACCGCGTCAGGCAAGTCAACCGCCGGGCTTTCCGTGACCTGGGCCGCCTGACCATCCTTTACCTGTTCAACAACTCCCTGGCCGAGCTGCCAGGCCAGGCCATGAGGGACACCCAGGGCATCCAGTTCCTCCGCCTCAACGGTAACCCCTGGTCTTGCGGCTGTGAGGCTCGCCCCCTCTGGGAGTGGTTCCGCAAGGCCCGCATCTCCTCCTCTGAGCTCATGTGCACCTCCCCATCCCAACATCGCGGCCAGGACCTCAGATTCCTCCGGGAGATGGACTTTGCCCTCTGCCCAGTTCCTGACCCCGGCTCAATGGCAGGAAGCACCACTACCACCTTCAGCACCAAGACCCGCTGGTGGTTCTCCAAGAACAAGCCTGCATCTACATCCAAGGCCTCGTTCCAGAAGAGCAAAGAAGGGGGGAAGGCTGGAAAGCCTCAGTACCTTCCCAAGAACCCCACAGAAACCCTCTCCACTAAGTATGAACTTTCAGACGATGAGGTGGCTCTCCCCAAGCTGGACCAAGAAGAATACTGGGCCAACTATGGCAATGAAGACGCCTCCATCGACTGCTTCGAGCTGGAGTGCCCCCCAGGCTTTGACGACCCAGCCTTCCCCTCGTCCTCCTCCTTTCCCAACATCCCATCCCTCCTCCACCTTCTCTCCCTCTCCATTGTAACATTCTCTCTAAATTTCGTTTTTGGCTGAACTCTTCCCTTCACCATTCCTTTTTCCTTTCCGATTTCTCCCCTTGCTCTTTCCACCTATAACAAAAACCTGGATCATGATTCCTTTCAGTAACCTCCTTCACTCGCAGGAGGCGCTACACTGACACAGGGGACAGGCGAGACAGCAGGGAGCAGCTCCGAAGAGCAAAGGTCTGTCGAGTTGATGTAGAGCAGGACAGGATTTCACTGTTGAAGTAGCTGCTGCTTATTAGTACTGGTTTGAAAAGCAGATCATAGAAACTGACTCTGACAGTGAAGGTACAAAGGCAGAAACCTACAACAACATTATAGAGACAGAACATGTAGACTGGTGGAGTCGCCAGATGTTTTTTGATATCACAGCTGTTAGCAACGCAGGCGTTGTGACTCGTCAACAGCTATTTTCTATATCCGCAAGTGCTCACATCTCACTCACTGCTAACATTGTCCCTCACTATTTCATGCATTTTATCATGAATACAACTGGTAATATATTATGCCAGAAGTTGGAAAGATATGTGGATTCATACAGGGAATGACAATCAAAAGAAACAATTAAATGGCGAATTAAAGCAAATCGATACAAAGTGAGCTTAAGTTATTAATCTTAAGGCAGAACAAGATGACAGGATCGTAAGAACTGCATCCAAGAGCAGCTCTCCTCTCTCCTTCAGATTCAAAACCTTTTTTGATCCCAGAGAGGCCGGCAAACCACCACTGCCCACACTTGTAAATACCACTCATAACTGTAAATACATGCATCAAAAACGGCTCTGTATTTTATACTAGCTGTGTTTTTACTTTTCATTGAGCATCATTCTGTGAATGGCAGCTTGTGGCAATAGAAGAGAAACTTTGATTGAATGTAAATGAAATAAATGAACCGTTGGAATTACTTTTTTGGCCCCCATGTTTTTGTCTTCTTTTCTCACAGACAACCTAAACATGTTGTTCTGCCGATGTGGGTTTTTGGTCCGTGATCTAGTTTTTGTTGACTGAGAAGAACAGTTTGACTCTCTTCTCCCTTCTTAAAATGAGTGTGTGTGTGTGTGTGTGTGTGTGTGTGTGTATGTACAAAAATATGGCCTTTTTCTGTGTGTCTAGTTGTCCAACATGACACAGAGAACGGTAAAAACAACCCCAGGGCTAATCACTACATAACCCTTTGTGTTGTTTGAAGCCTCAGGTCTCTGTCCTCTTGTTGGCTCCTGTTACATTACACATTGACCTGCAATTGGTCTCCGTCAGTGTGACTGTTTGCCTTATGTATGAGGATGAGCTTGGATTTAAATGTGAAAAAGTCCTTTATGGACAGGTCTCACTTAATAAAAAATGTTTTGTTTCCAAAATACATGGGAATCTATGCCTGTTTTGTCTAACCCCTTCCATAAATAAGGATTTAATATGATAGCAGTGGGATATATGTGTTGTAAGACCATAAAGAGACATTGATGACAATCAAACTGTCATGCATAAATTAATCTCACATATTAAAGCTGTACTTCCTAAAATAACTTTTTTACTCTCCTGTGGGTTTTTGGATACCGAGATCAGTTCAACACAGTACCAATCCAACCTGGTAGTGATCAGCATTATTTCTTGATTTCTTGTCAGCTCTTAATGTTAGTGAGTCCATACCATTCAACCTGGAAAATGACTGTGAGTTTCTGCAAAGAACATGAAGGAATACTTTGATGCTTTAAGATGTATTTTTCAATGAGAAAATGTATTATGAAAGTGTTTTGCTTTATTAAAAAACAAAATAACAATCAAAGAGAAGTGTGTGTTTTTTTTTTTTTTTACTGTTGATTCACTGTTGTCTTTGTTCGCTAAGGACACAAAGGAAAACGAAAAATGGCAAAAGTTAATGAGCAGGCACAAAAACAAAGGTTACAGATATTCATATTTGGAAAGCGTCTAACAAATGACATGTAACGTATGATGCTTTGTGATGATAGTCAAGATTGCAACACTTAACTTAGCCTACTTAACTTAACTTTAACACAAGCAGTATTATTATTATTTATACTTTGGCACTATGAGCACAGTAAGATGAGAGAATCATGAGCGTAAATGGCAGATAAAGTTAGTCTAGACTTTGTGAGTTTACTCATAGTGCTTCTGTCAAACCTTAAAGGAGGTGGTATTTGTTGTGTGTGTGTGGCCTAGCATTACTATCCTTGTGGGGACCTACATATGTTTACATAGTCACGTGTGGGGACTCACCTCCCTTATGGGGACATAATGGAGGTCCCCATGATAGATGAGGGGAATCATTAATTTTAGGGTGAAGACTTGGTTAGGGTAAGGGTTACGGTTAGGCATGTGTTGGTTATGGTTAAGGTTAGGATAAGTCTCCAGGAAATGCATGTAAGTCAATGTAATGTCCCCTGAAGTGATGTATACATGGTGTGTGTGTGTGTGTGTGTGTGTGTGTGTGTGTGTGTGTGTGTGTGTGTGTGTGCGCGCAACGGTGTGAAGTGTAATCCAATGTGTCAGTGTGTTTGGTAAAGGTCAACAATATCAATTTCTCTCCTCGCCCAATCAATTTTGTCACCATGTGCAGGAGGCAGCTGTATTGGGTCATGTTATACAAAGAGTGTGTGTGTGTGTGTGTGTGTGTGTGTGTGTGTGTGTGTGTGTGTGTGTGTGTGTGTGTGTGTGTGTGTGTGTGTGTGTGTGTGTGTGTGTGAAGATGATTCCTTATGATTCAGGGAAGGGGATGAATGGGGAAAACGCCAGAATGAAAATGTGACGATGTGTCCCAGAATCAGCCCCCTCAACAGATTAGCTTTCACCCTGATAATGAGGGTGATGGATACACTCATGTGTTGCACATACACTTAACTTACATAAGCAAATAGGGAGAAATAGCACACACACACATACAAAAGTGTTCAAGAAAGTTTGGTTGAGGGCCCCAATGTTTTTCGTCATCCAGCTCAATTTCACACCTCAATTTCACTTTCTGCGACAAAAGCCTTTAGTCATAGTTCAAAACAGAACAAATCCTCAAACCCACATGCATTATTGTCCTTAACAGCATCTTACTTTCAGAACTTTTAATTTCCTCAAAGTTAAAAAGCAGATTTTCTTCATTAAAGAAGAACTCTTTGCCAGGTCACTCTTGAAAAAGAGATTTTAATCTCAATGAGACTTTTACCTGGTTAAATAAAGGATATGTATTAAAACCACTAAAACTTCTGATTAGTTGTATTATAGTATAGTTCATATAAATCAATCAATCAATCAATCAATCAATGTTTATTTATATAGCCCAATATCACAAATGTTACATTTGTCTCAGTGGACTTCACAGTTTGTACAGAATATCAGTATGACAATACGACACCCTCTGTCCTTAGACCCTCACATCGTATAAGGAAAAACTTCCAAAAAAGGAAAAACCCCACAGTTTAAAGGGGAAAATGGGAGAAACCTCAGGGAGAGCAACAGAGGAGGGATCCCTCTCCCAGGACGGACAGACGTGCAATAGATGCCGTGTGTAAATCGAAGAGATAATACATTTACAGCATAGGTAGACCAAATGTTTGGAAATGCATGTGTCTATAATAAGAAGATGATTCCACGAGGATGTCAACAATCCTGTGGGAGCCATCAGGGAAGTAGTATGATGAAAGTCAGGCAGGACCACAGTGACAGGTTCAGCCACGACTCGAAATCCAGGACTCAGATCAGGACTCAGGACTCAGGATCAGCCACGACTCAGGATCCCAGCGTAGATAGACACCAAAAAGAAATTTGGGGGAAGCTGGGTTATTCGGAACATGAGAGTACACAGGTACAGACAGAGAGAAGGAAGAAGTAAGGTGTCCCCCGACAGTCTAAGCCTATAGCAGCAAAACTAGGGGCTGAATCTAATCAGCCCTAACTATAAGCTTTATCAAAAAGGAAGGTCTTAAGCGCACTCTTAAAAACGGATAGGGTGTCTGCCGCCCGAACACAAACTGGAAGCTGATTCCACAAAAGTGGAGCTTGATAAGAAAAGGCTCTGGCTTCCAATAGTACTTTTAAAAACTCTCGGAACAACCAACAACCCTGCATTCTTGTAACGCAATGCCCTAGTAGGACAGTAGGGTATAATGAGTTATTTAAGGTAAGATGGCGCCTGCCCATTAAGGGCTTTGTAGGCGAGAAGAAGAATTTTAAATTATATCCTGTGTTCTATAGGGAGCCAGTGTAAGGCAGCCAGAACAGGAGTAATGTGGTCCCTTTTCCGAACTCTGGTTAGTACACGTGCTGCAGCATTTTGAATCAGCTGAAGCGACTTAACTGACTTCTTGGTACACCCTGATAATAAAGAGTTACAATAATCCAGCCTTGAAGTAACAAATGCATGGACTAGTTTCTCTGCATCGTTTTGAGGCAAGATATGCCTGATTTTTGCTATGTTACGTAGATGAAAAAAGGCGGTCCTTGAGATTGATTTTATGTGGGCGTTAAAGGATAAATCCTGATCAAATATAACACCAAGATTCCTTACAGTCTCACTGGAGGCCAAATTAATGCCATCCATAGTTAATATATCTTTAGATAGTTTGTTTCGTAGAGTCTTTGGGCCGAGTACAATAACTTCAGTTTTGGCCGTGTTTAACATCAAAAAGTTTTAGGTCATCCACGTTTTTAAGTCCTTGAGGCAGTCTTGAATTTTATTTAGATGATTGGTTTCATCAGGCTTGATGGATAAATATAGTTGAGTATCATCCGCATAACAATGAAAATGTACAGAGTGATTCCTTATAATATTGCCTAACGGAAGCATATATAATGTGAACAAAATAGGTCCAAGCACTGAGCCCTGTGGCACTCCATGACTAACTTTGGTTTGCATGGAAGATTCATCGTTGACACACACAGACTGAGAGCGTTCAGATAGATAGGATCTAAACCAGCCTAAAGCAGTTCCCTTTATGCCAACTAAGTGCTCTAGTCTTTGCAATAGGATATCATGGTCGATAGTATCAAATGCAGCACTGAGATCGAGCAAAACAAGAATAGAGACAAGTCCTTTGTCTGAGGCTATTAGAAGGTCATTTGTGACTTTAACCAGAGCTGTCTCTGTGCTATGATGTGTTCTAAAGCCAGACTGAAAATCTTAAAATAAATCATTGTTTTTTAAGTAATAACACAACTGTTTTGCGACTGCTTTCTCAAGTATTTTTGAGAGGAACGGAAGATTAGAAATAGGTCTATAGTTGGCTAAAACCTCTGGATCGAGGTTGTGCTTTTTAAGAAGAGGTTTTATCACTGCTACTTTGAATGATTGTGGAACATAGCCTGATAATAAAGACATATTCATAATATTTAATAAAGAAGTGCTAATTAATGGAAAAACTTCCTTTAACAGCTTAGTTGGAATCGGGTCTAAGATACACGTTGATGGTTTAGAAGAAAGAATCATTGAATTCAATTGTTCAAGGTTTATGGCTGAAAAGCATTCTAATTTACTATCTAGTGTAATATTAGAACTTACATTTCCAGGAGCTGTTGATAACACTATACTGGTCAAAGGCAAGAGGTCATTCATTTTGTTTCTAAGAGTAACAATTTTATCATTAAAAAAGCACATAAAATCAACAAATGTGGCAAACTAGTGTGATATGTTGTGTTAATGTCCTCTGATTGGCTGAAGAAAACAAGGTTGGAACATTCTTGCTGTCTAAAAACGATTATTTGTTATATATTTCAATCAAGGGTTTTGACTTTTCTTCTTTTGTGAAAGGAAACAAATTTAATTTCACTTCTGCTGTCCAAAATGTCAAAGGACGTTTCTTAAGCCGGTAATGAATAGTTAAATGCAGATGGTAACCAAGTTCAACAACATTTAAAATGTTTTATTGTAACACAGCTTTGGCAGGAGCTTTGAAGTTACATTATATAAAAGGACATTAACTATGGGTCATGATTTCACAGAGAAAGTGCAGATGGAAAAAATGCATGAGCGGGACATCTTATGTTGCCATGGTTAACCACCTCGAGAAATGTACATCAAAAACTTGAATCGTGACAGACTTGCTCAGCCTTCCTATATTTCCAAGTTGC